GAAGCGAAGCGAGCGCATGAACGGTGTTTGAAGGGAAACAACCGTGACAATCCCAAATGTTGAAGAGACAACGAACTCGGGATGGTCTTCCTCGAGCTTCTTGAAGGCAGCAATAAAGCCATCTCCACCTACATCAGCTCCTTGTTTAATCTTCGAACGCTCTTTGCTAACACGGTCTGCATTCCAGAATATGTCAGATATTTCGGTCACGGATTTCCCGGGACCATTAATCCCTGGAACGCCCACGATGAGACCTAGAGGACCGACAGTTGGATGGGCCTGAACAAGGTCCTGGAAGCGATTCTTCTCTTCCCCAGATAAATGAAGCATGTGGGTCGGACGCGGGTGTTTATGAGCACCACTATTCGTCCAGTGTATCCCCTCGGCCCACTTCCAGAGAGTCTCGTGAACTGAACAGCGTTCGTGGTATAGTACTGCGCCACATTTGCATGACTGCTGAAGCTGAGCCTGAAGCGGTTTAGGATGGGTGCGAGGGCGAATGATGATCCTACAGTCGGGGTTATCACACTCAATAATGCCCAAGCACTTGCGCACGCTCTTTTTACCACCCTCCCAATAAATATCGCCCAGTCGAGTTCCATTGGTTTTCGTCGCCCAGTGCACTTGAAGGTCATCAAGGCGCTCAACTTCGTCGAAGGAGAAATCCTTCTTGAGAACATCGTCAGGCCAGCCATCCCAGACAAAAGATGAAGATGCAGATTCGGTGAGAATAGGCTTCTCCAAGTCGTCAAGAGTCCGATTAGGTGTGGAGGCAGTAGTCGTGGTATTTTTCTTGTGAATTCGAGTTGTGGACAGTGTTTTCCGTGCCCCAGAGTCGTGGGTTCCTGGTGAACATCCTGAGGAACATTAATATATTTGGGAGGAGAAAGTGGGGCACACCTTCAGCTCGGGGTTCATCCACGGCTTTCCCAATGTCACGGTAGGCAACAATCTTTCCTGGAATAGTGTTAGCCCGAAAAATGCTCCTAGGATAGCATATATTACCGTTTTTTATGACAGGAACACAGTTTTCAAATAAATCAGTTGTATCTTGCTTTGTTCGATGGGCTTTCGGTTGATAAACCTCATCAGACTCGTCCTCGGTGAAGTACCGAAGCATGTGCCGAAGGAATCCCTTTTACATAATGCCGTCAGCAAGAACTTAGACGCCCAAGACTGCCGACAACGCCTACCAGAACCATGATACCTCTTTTCAACACAACTCTCTCAAAGACGAAGGTAAAGAATGAAGGTCGAGTCCATGAAAAATTTCTCCCCTAAAGATGTTATCATGGCCGATTGCGTGTTGCTAAACGGAACCAAATTCTAGGTTGAGCACTCCACACCGACATTTAAGTTCTGACCGCCCAAAAACATATTTTTCAACAACTCAGAAGAGGACAGTAAGAATGCGTGCAGGTGAATACAGCTTGTGTGCTCGAGAGTGCAGTTGCGTGCGTGTTGCGCGCAGCTGCGTGCGATGTGTGCGTAGTTGCGTGCAGTGCGTACGAGTTGCGTGCCTTGCGTGCCACGTGCGTGCCATCTGCGTGCATGTGCGTGCCATCTGCGTGCGCTTGCGTGCATGTGCGTGCACCTGCGTGCACTTGCGTGCATGTTGCGTGCCGAGTGGCACGCAGGTGGCTGTGCTTGCGTGCCACGAGGATCGCAAATACGGATGTAGACATTCATCACGCACACAGAGAACTAGAAATTGTTGTCCATTGTGCATCTACGGTTTAAATACGATAGTACATGTTATTTCTTAGTGTCCACGTATGTTATTTCCAGTCCACAGCCTTTCTTACCATGCACGCAGCTGCACGCAAGTGGCACGCAGATTTCCAGTTGCCCGGCTCGTGGTGGTGCAAGGGAAAGGAACGAAATCCTCATTTGGTAAAGGCTCGGCTCCGAGTCCGAACCTTGCTCCATCCCCCAACTACCTACCGCATCTTCTTCTTGGAGGGGGATTAAAAGCCCTTTGAACAACATTTCCATCGTTGCTCGTCCTCAAAAATATCAGGTCGGTCGACAGCTACTTCAGGAGATGGCACGATATCTTGCTCTTTGGAAATCAACTTCGTGGGGTGGCTCATTTTTGCGGCGGCGATGCCCCCATTTTTTGCCATTGTACAAGCGAGAAATTTTGTTCACTTACTTTTTCATCACCTAAACGCCCCCGGTGTCCGCAACATCTGGAAAAAAACGCGTTTTTCGCGTCCTCGACGCGCTCCAGATCTCGTCTTGCAGCCTCAGGTTACTGCCTCAAAAAATCTAATCATTCGTTGCTTTCCAACTAGATCATGGCGTCTGAACGAGCCAAAAAGGCGAAGGATAGAGGGAACAAACTTTTCAAAGATGGAAAACTAGCAGAGTACGTCCCAAATTCTTTTCTTCCACCACGAGCCCCTAAAGGGCTACATCCAGATCGGTTGAGCACTACAAGGAGGCACGTCCAACATTATCAGTCTTCTAAAACACCAGACTCAGTCTCGTCAGGCCGAAAGAGTCGACTCAACCAATCCCGTCTACCCCTCAAATCTCAGTGCCGCACTCTACGAAGTAGGCCTTTATGCCGACTCTATCAACGCGATCCTGCGCTCCTGGGTGCTCAAACCAGAGCCAGCCCTCGCCATCAGATTGTCGACGCGTTTAGCGAAGTCTCTGGCGCATGGAATCCAGGACGGGATGTTCAACGCGTCCGTGGTCCAACAGAACGCAGATGGGATCAAACAGCTTGAAGATCTGTCGACAAAGGACGCCGGTGCAGAGAATGTGCAGGCATGGAAGATGTGGCGCAGTGTCCGAGCAGGACTGGAGCATCACACAGATTTATCTCATGAAGCCAAAGTCAGGCTGTCGAAGATGCCTATTTATAAAATGATGCCGTAAGTGCTCAGTTGTTGCGGCTCCGAGTCCGATTTCTGAGTACAAACGTGCTTATATTCTTTCTCCAGAGATCCTCATCTGACCTTTTGGATCGTGCGTGTTCATCTTCATTCATCGCAAAGCACGCTTTGAGAGCCATTTTAGTTTGGCACAGACGATGTCATCTCTCTCCTGGACGGCTGGGGCCCGAACAACGAGGATCGCCTGAACCTTCGTTCCTTCAGCAAAGAGCATATTTCGCAGCTATCGTTTCTGATAGCAGGAGTCGGCGATGGTAGGACCCTTACCCTCGAAATCATGCAAACAGCTGAACCCCTCATAGCTCGCCATGCGTTTGGAACGATCATCGGTTTGGGCAAGGCTCGAGAAAAGCTCACCGGCGCTTTGAAGAAAGGGCTGAGGGCTCACATTATGCTTCTCGACATACATTTTGGAACCATCGCGCGGGATCTCCTTCTGTTCTTGCTTATCGCTCAGTTGATGGATAAAGGCATCAAAGAACATGAACGTCAGGAGATCGAGTCGACGCTAGTTTACATCTACATGGTTGGGTTATACCATCTTATTGCTATGATCGGTAAGTGTCTCATCCTGTTCGTTGTTCGCCATCTAACATGACATCAGGCTCATGAAACTTTGCGAGGATGCTAAAGCCCGCCTACTCGAAGATCCGCCGCGTCTACCCTCCTGGATCCACCTCGACAGAGGGTCTATCAAACCCGTCATCAGAGCGCTAGACTACTGGCTCACAGACAAGTCCAAAACCGCCTCTGGCCTCCTCGAGCACATGACGCACGTCTCCTCTGCAGACAGCGTCAAGTGTATGATGTCCATGGGCATGATGGGCATGGCTAGCATCCCGGGCTTTGACCCTATGGCCAAGTTCCGGGCGGATGCTGAGGACGCGCTCAGGAAGATCGGAGACGCGACACTGCAGCTGTGGTTGCCGGAAAAGTGGGGTGCGCCGAAGGGTACGGGGCGCGAGTGGATAAAGTGGAAGAGGGAGAATAGGGAAAAGTTGATTGCGTTGCTCGTTGAGATGCAGTTGAACAAGAATATGGAGTATGGGCTGGTGGGGGAGGAGCTGGGGTATAAGCAGATCAATGCGTTTGTGGCCCCGCCGGAGTTGAGAGAGAGGAGACATCCGGAGTTTGTGGATATTGAGGATGTCAACAATCTCGATGATGATAAGGCGCAGACGAAGGAGTTTAAAAAGGTGTGCACACCTCGAGTGATCTATTCATTATGCCGATTGTCTTTCCCCAGATCGGAAAGACCATCCTAAAGACATGGAAACCCAACATCACGCTTCTCGTAAGCCCTTTCACTTCTCTCAAATCTTCGACGTCTCTACCCACGCCGTCTGTTGTTGACATGAAAACCCATTTCCTAGGACGGTTCAAAAGACGGGTACATGAGCGCAGACATGGACGCGTTCAGCATCGTCCGTAGCATAGCGGCATTCAACCAAGCAGAAGGCTTCCAGCAACTCGAACTCGTCTCGCGTTCTGATTGCCCTTCGTTCCTGACGATGTCGGGCTTCTTCCGAGCAGTCGTTGAAACGATGAAATCCCTCGGCGGAAAGCTTCAGGTAGAACTTATCGTCGGAGAGATTTGTCAAGAGCTCTCTAAGGTCCGTCTCGGGACGGATTCGAGGCCCGGCCACTTCCCAAAGAAGTTTACGAGGATCTGGTTGAGCAACATCCCGTACGAGAACTTTAACCTCGACGGAATTTCATCTTGCTAATATGATCTATTCACTCAGGGATTACACGAACGGCACTCTGAACACCGCCACCTACATCCTCCCAGCTCTCCAGGAGGATAACTCGTCAGTGGGAGCAAACTGTTTGTTCAATTCTCCCATATGGAAAAGTGACGACGAATACTGCTACAAGTACGTTCCAGAGCTGCGTTTGCCATTGTGTTCTGATCTTTTTTCTCTAGTTACACCCTTCTCCTGCCGAAAGACCTCCAGCGATATCTTGGTGTCCGAACCTTGAATAACAAAGCGATCATGGACGTCTTGACATTGGCTCCAAACCCCCTTCCACGACCGCTCGCCTCACTCGCCTCTCGCGAACACTTCCTCTCGTGGCTAACCAACCTGCTCGTCTATCACGTCGTGCCAGGCAAGGCGCAACCCCGCCCGAACACGGTCAAGCAGCCCAACAACCTCGTCTGCTTCGTACGTCTCCTGGTTGAGCTGCGGAACGTCGGCTATCCAGCGCACTGGCTCTCTGAGTTCCTGCAGGGTGTGCTGAGTGGCACACTCACGACTGACCGACTGGCGTACAAGAAGGAATTACCGCGCCCGGTCAGCGAGATGCAGGAGCGCACGGCGGTGCACCGTGTCCGCCTCGACCCGTGGCATGCCGAACTTGAAATGATCCTCGCGTCGGCGAGGCATGGACTGCCATTTGCTGTGAACCTCCCAGAGGGGTACGCGAGCAGCGTTGACAACATTGGGTATTTCAAAGCGAGTGTGGTGCCCAACATGGCGTTTGGGAGCAGCTTTGGGCTACCACCGCAGGACAACGTCGTTGCGCTGCTGTTTTACACGACCGCGAGCGAGCTCCACCCGCGCTCTGTCGATGACTTCCTGGGAAGTTTGCACGCCGTGGTTGATGGCGCCACTATCCCACCTCCTGGGATGTTCCATATATTCACGACGCAAGAGTTTGTGGACCTCAATATGCGGGAGGTCCGCTGGAGGATGAGCAAATCCCTCGCTGCGAAGATGAGGCGAGAGAGGTGGTCCATGGTGCTCTGGCGCATGGACTTCTACGTGTGCAGTGAGTGACTGTTTCTTGACCATGAGAGAGAGAAGTTTCTGACAATCTATTTCTATTTGATAGCAACTTCCCCGTGCTCTGCAATTTCCTGGCAGAACGTCGACAGCCCCGTATAAAAATTCAATTCAATTTCCTCTTCGTGATTGTCGACTGAAGAAAAGAAGACCCTGACGAGCTCCACTTCCACCTTGTTACTGACATCGAAGGGGCAACCGGAATGCCGTGATAATATTCAGGAAGTGCGGCATGTACAACAAATGTAATATTATACTCTTTTTAATGCTCCGCTTCCATCTCATGAAATTCTGAGATGGAAGGTACGGCGAGTGACCCACGCGTCTCGTTCGCACGCCAGCTCGGTGTGCTGCTCACTAGCGGAGGTGGCTTGAACCGGGTTCTAGTTTGCAAAATGAGCAGTATGAAGGCGGTCAGAATGAACAGTCCGTTTCGAAACTTGGGATTTGACAACCGAGGGATAGCCATCACTGGCATTTGTTTGAATTTGGAGCCTGCCCACATTGCTAAGACGGCACATGTGGTGAGCAGGCGCCGGTCGTAACGATGTTTCATCTCCAAGTCTCATTTTTTCATTAAACAACTGGAATTCGCGTCCCGAGCCCCTCAGCTTGGTTCCGTGTCATGGCCGCCATAGCTCGAAACAGGTGCATAGAGCGGAGGCCAGCACGAGACACCCAACACCCAACATTCTACACTAACAGACCAAGTCATTGCTCTTTGGACATTTGGAAGTTTAGAAATACATACCCTCGCCACTTCCATTTGACGTTTCCGGAGTCTGCTGGGTTCGTCATCAACGTCGAGTCGCTCAAGAGAGACGTCGAGTCTACGCACGCCGTACAAGACGATCGATGAGGCCTTGGCAACGCGACATCGAGCCTTGGGCAGGTTACAACAGGTTACAACCCGCTCCGAAGACTTACTATGACGCGATTGAGGTGCTGAGACGCGTTTGATCCGTGTTTGGATTTGAAATTTGATCCCTCACTAGGGCGAGTGTGGCGCAAACCCTGATTTGATCTGGGTTTTGATGGTGTTTCTGACTTGATGCCGCTGCCAGCCTTGAGCTTGACCCCATACCCCCTCGACCCCTCTCCGAGTCACTTCTCTCTCGTCCGGTCATCTCATCAGGGCAGACAGACAGAATTTGAGCGTCTTCGCGTTCTGTGCGTTTAGTCGTGCAAGACGCATTCCAATTTCCGGAACAAGCAAGAGTGAAAGAGAGTGTAAGCAGGGACGAATGCACCCGTCCTCGCAACGGGCGACGCGCTTGACGTCCTAAATGAAAATTCAAACCATGGGGAACCCGGAAATGTTTTCATTACATATTTGACGGAGTATGGATGATGGCGGGCCGGACCTGTGATGAAGCTTGAAGGGTGTCGGCAGATGTGACATTGACGTTGGAGGTGATGAGGACAGGAAGGAGGTACCTCAAGCTTAAGCTTCTGGCGGTGAAATTTGAAACATTGAAGTCCTCTGGCAGGAGGACGAACGCTCTCAACTCCTGGTCTTGGTCCTTCACGTCCACGTCGCCCGCCTCACCGCGCACATCCTAGCCTATAGCAGCTTCTTGCACAATGCACGGTACTTACCTTAATTATAAAGCCGAGTACACCTGCGTCCGTCCGTACGTCCGCATGCTATCGCTTAGCATGTATAATTGCATATTGCACGCGCTGAGCGCTGAAATTCGAGGTTCGAGGTCGCCGAGGCTGGCGGTTTGGCGCTCGGGGCCGCTCGGGATCTGGGTGGGTGGGGATATGTAATTATCATCATGGAAAAGGGGAGTAGTCTGAGTACCTACATATATACGCGTTTAGATCATTTCCAATATACCCCGAGCGCGATTAAATAACGCACTCCGGAGCGCTAAGTTCTGAGCAGGCGCGCGTCGCTCGGGCCTGCGCTGCGTAGGTCCAGGTAAGTGGGAGTTCTGGCGTGAAAGAGAAACCCCGTGGCGAGTCGATTCGAAAGCGTCGTAGGTTCAAGTTGGGATAAGTACTCGGGATACGCCGAGCGCCCTGCGACCTGTGCCACTGCAGCGCTAGCGTCGAGTCTTAATCGGACATCCGCACCTCGTTCGTTCGCGAGCGTCGCCAAATCCCGATTCGCCATACTCTAGTCCATCATGTGCGCACCTATGTGCATTGGTGACAGTACAAGCTACGTACCTGGCGTTCGAACTTCGGTCCGTGGAGAGAGAGCTCAGAGTCCGCAAATCCCTGCGAGTATGAGCCTAGATATAAGTACGTATGGGTGTAATACCTGACTATGTAGTTTACTTGTGTGAGGTAAGAGTTGCTGATGGGACTCACAGATGCCTGTCCAGTATGCTCCTGGACCTCCTCGGAGATGGGGGTGGGGCCTGGGCGCTCAACGTAACGCAACGCAAATCCCTGCTCATGAGCGCCGCCGCCACTTTACGGCGTACGCTCGCAAGTAAATCCCTTGGCACGCCGCGCCGCTCTACACTCGCAAATCCGCGCCCTTGCCCTGACGTGGACGTAGAGCGGCCAGGTGCGTACGTGAGCGTACGTGAACGTCATTTAGTGGTATCTAGAAAGATGGCTGTCACTGTTAGCGTGGGCGCCACATATCCGTATAGGAGGAGGAAGGGGAGGAGGAGGAGGAGGGGGGGGTCAGGATGGAAGGAGACGCGTACTGTACGTAAGCTAAATACCTGCGTTGAAGGTGAGGGATGGAGTAGTTGAGAGTACGTGGAGTGGAGTGGTAGCACGTGGAGGTGGAGGTGGAACGACGAAGGATGAACGGGAGTGGAGGTGGATGCGACTCGCGAGAATGTACGTGAGGAAGAACGTGAGGATCATATGGGCGGGTCGACTCGAGCGGGTGTGGAGTCGGAACGGCGGGGAGAAGCTCGGGAAGCTCGGAAGTGAGCTTTTGGACGGGATATTGGATGGGATATTGGATGGGATATTGGATGGGATAATAATACTTACGACAATGATACTTACGGTATCGTTAATAAGATAGCTGGGAGAAGGGGATTTCGGCTGGAGAAGAGGCGAGATGAAAAGATGACGAAAGGGAGGTGTGGGAAGGAGAAGGCAGTGGTGGGCTGACGGCATTGGAGGTGTGTCCACGAGAGTTGTCTAGAAGCGAGATGAGATGAGGGAAGGAAGGAGAAGGAAGGATGGAAGGGATGGGCTTACGCAAGGAAAACGAAACAATGAGGAATGGGTGACTCGCGAGAGTGATTAGCTTGTCGATGTCGATGGGCGTTTTCGTCATCGAGCGCTGAGGAGGCCCGTGCGACGTGTAGTGCAGAGAGAATCCTCGAGGATGCGGACCAAGTTGGAACGCTGGCAGAAGTCGAATTCGAACCCACCTGGCACCTAGCACCAGAACCCGCTCGAGCCTCTGCGCAGAGACCCGTAGTCGTTAGTGCCGACATGCAAGTTGCAGCACCATTGAAGTCCAACGCGTCGGTGGCTGATCACAGTACCAGTACCAGTACCAGTCCTAGGCCTACATAGTACACATGTAAGTATGCGAGAAATCTCGTCTCGTCTCGCCGTCGTTTGTCCGTCCTGCGTCGTGCGTTCTGTATAGAGCAGAGCAGAGTAGATCTTGTCATTGGCACTGACACGCGGACGCTGTGTTGCTTGCGCTTGCTCGCGGGCGATGGACGGTCCGAGTCCGCGTCGAGCTCAACTTGCATGTTAACTTCGACTTGCACGTCGACAAAAGCAGATTAGCACGTTCGGATGTCATTGATAGAGTTGAGAATCGATCATCAGAAGAAAGCCCGATTGGGCGAGCTGTTTGTTTTGTTTTCCAGCTCCAGAGGCGGCCGTCGGGGGCTTTACGCGCAACCAACCCTTTTCCCTCATCTCCCTAATACCCCGTCACCGGCACCGTTCCCTAATACCCCCTCTCGCCCGAGGCAAGTCCGAGGCGAGGACAAGTTCGGAGACTGAGTGTCGTTTGTCAGTTTCACGTCGGGGAGAAGGAGAAGGCTTAGGCTTAGGGTTGACGTAGACGTTGAGGTTTGCACTAAGCTGAGGACTAAGGGCTAGGGATCAGACAGGTGAGTACTAGTAGCCTAAGGATTCTCGTATGTGAACTGACTGACCTCCATCCGTCAGCTAGAAGACGGAAGACCCACGGTACACGATACACGATACCCCCGGCCGCGGTGCTACATCTCTTTTGTTTTGCGTTTTGCGTTTTCGCGGGCTCGCCGAAGACGCCCTTTTTCTCCACTTCGTTTCATTCCACCTACGCAAGATTCGGGTTTCGGGTTCGGCGATTTGATTGAGGAAGGACGGAAGGAAGACGTTCCATTCAAGAATACGCTATAGTACGCTCATAGTACGTGTTATCCCTCCTTCTCGTCTTCCTTCCTTCGTTCCCTTCGTTCGTTCTTGCCCGCCCACTCCCCGCCCTCCTTACGTCGCTGACGATGTTCCTCACCTCTCGGCCCCTCCCAGCACCAGCACCAGCCGACGCTGCCATGTCGTCCACACCGACAGTAACAGCAACATCCACAATAACACCAACGGCAACACCAACCACGACGACGTCGCGCCTGGCGAAACGCGCCCCCGTGCCGCTCCTCCTCGAAGCCTTCCCCGTCCCGCCGTCGCACATCCCGCCTACGCCCACCGCGAGCTCGAACGGCCATGGCGGGGGTGGCGGCGGGGGGCCGCTCACACCCAACACCAACACCGTGTCGTACGCCCCGTCCGCATCCTACGCCCCGTCATACGCCAGCTCCTCCCACCCGCCCTCCTCGTTCCCTGGCAGCAGCAACGGCACTGGCAGCAGCAGCAGCAACAACCCCCCACCCACTGGCCCCCCCAGCACACCCCTCCCGCCCGTCCCAGGTCCGTCGCGCATCTCGGAGCACGAGCAGCTCTTGATATTGTCGTCGGCGGCGAGGGGGCCGTCCAGGCGGTCGAGCAAGTATTCGGTGGGGTCGCCAGGGGCGGGGGGCAGGGATAGCATCGTTAGTGTTGGGAGTGCGGGGCACGGAGGTGGGGGTGGAGGCCGGGGGTCGTATTATGAGAGCGCTGGAGGAGGGGGGAAGAGGACGAGCGGGCCGTCCAGCGGGGGCGAACCGCTCCCTGGT